AGCAATAGGTGCTCAGGATTGGACAGGTCTCCCAGCATCTGGGAAGCTGGATGATTTCTTCTTGTAATATATAAGCTGAGCTCCTGGTCTTGTTTGGTCCTAAGGCTGCTATACATGTACCGATATGATCATTCCATGCCATTAAAATGATCAAACTGAATAAGAATCGTAAGCCATAGACCCCCCTCAATCTATCAATTTAGTGAGATCTTGATCAATAGTGACTCTGCTAAGTCTTTTGGCTATTGAGGTAGTTTGTTGATTGCCTCTGATCGATCGGATATATATATATGTGTGTGTGTGTCTCAGAAAACTGATTGTAATTTCAAATGATTTAGTAAGCTCAAGATTGATATCGACTCTGGCAAGTCTGTCGGCTGTTGTGGAATTTTGTCAATCGCCTCTGATCAATGAAACGATCATCTGTGTTTGTGTTGAGTACAGATCATAATACAGGTCACATAAATGATGGTTTTCAGTGGAATGTTTGTGATGGAGTGTAGGTTCAACCAATACAGTATGTGCTGCATCCTTTCATAGTTTATTGGATGATGAATCATTTGTTTTGGGATTGTTTATACATAATTCAGTCACAGATTGCTTTGTGTATATCCACCTGTAGTAACATTCCTATACCTACCAGATTGCTTCTTCTTGAATTGTATTTGCTGTGTTTTAGATTATAGGGCTTTTTTGCCTTCCTCTGGATCAACAGTGGGTTATTGTGGGCATAACGTTCTGTTTAGGCTCCGCCCCCCCCATATCTCTATAGGTTGAAGTCGATAGACATGTGTCTTTTTTTCAACCTGACTAACTATGTGACTTCTCTCGTTGGAAGTTCTACCTCCACCGCTTCTCCTGTCTGAGAGTCTTCAGCCACTATGGGCAATGACCGAAATGCCGGCTGCCCCTGTATTGGGGCATACAGACTTCTCTCTGTGACATAGATACAAAGGACTACAGACTGAATGTTTACACATGGCTTATGTCATATTTTGGGGTTCTGTAGGGAAAAAGGCCAACAATTTTATAAGTGATTATTAATGTTCAATGGAGACAATGGTGATGATCATGTTAAAGGACAAGTACACGATTAGACATAAAAAAAAAAGAAACCTTTTCCTTCTCGGCTCCTCTGATCTTTCTAGAGTAAAACATACCTTTCAGATGTAGAAGCGTGAATGCTGAGACTTCCTCTTCAAATTGCCCCACACCCTGTAATTGATTCGAGTTCAGGGTGTGTTAATGGGAGAGAGAGAACTCCAATACAACCCATTGGGCAGTGGGGTTCATGCCCCACGTTTCTATGACAACCAACCACTGACCTCCTGGGTAGTATAGAGCAGCATGTGTGTTGTGAGTATGGGTTTTAGGCCCCATTCACACTGTTGGGTTTTGTTAGTGCACACATGTTTATATCGTGCATTATACCATGCAATGGGTTAAGGTATGTCCATTCATTTTAATAGACTGCCATAAATTAGTATTAAACTCTGTCTTTTTCAATAATCTGGCTCAAACTATTTTATAAATTGTCCATTAAAGTATTTCTTTATATTTTTGCCCACGTGTTTACAGTCATCATGTTTCTGAACAGCTCCAACTCTCTCAGCTCCTCTTCCCTGAACTTTCTGTTCTGTACAAGATCACAAGGGACAGATCAGTCTCCAGCAGCTGCCCATCTATAAGCTTAGAGAAGGGAGCAGGGTAATGGCTTGCCATGCTGTGCCTGTGTGTTTGTGAAGACGCACTGCTCATTAGCACACACAAGGGTAACACCATAGATTCCTGCAAGGGAAGAGAGCCATAAAACAGGATATCCGGACCAGGGCTCAGGGGACCAGCTGATTGTGCAGGAAGCTAAAACTTTTAAACATCAAGAAGCGGCATCCATTGTAAGCGATTTAATCAGCATATGAAATAGCGTAAAAACCTTTTGGCTTTATTGCACCAAGACGTGGCCAAAAAAGTGAATGCACTATTTTCTGTAGTGCAGTGGACCACAACACACAGTCCATTACCGTGCATTGCAAACCACCCTCGGTGGCATGGTGTGTTGGGGTGCCATGCAGAATAAATCCCACTGTGTCATTCCAACACACATACCCCACCTATTACCACAGTCCAGTGGTGTGAATGGGAACTAAAGGGATTAGCCTGTTAGGATTAGAATATGGGAGCTGCCACTGTTGACTTATTTTTGAAGCTGCATGTCCTTGGAACCATCGTGCTTATCCTTCCTTTACTTCTTATGAGTCGCTGACCTAGAACAAGCCTGTGTATATCAGGTGTCAGAATGGATTATGGTGACAGTACTGGAGCAGGCACCTTCCCATATGTATATCCTGATTAGGTTCCATTTAGAAAATAAATTATCTATTTTTATGCTTTTTTTGGAAGTACTGCATAAACAACATGAATGAAAACTTTAAACAATCATGTGAACTGTAACTATTAGAAATAAATCAAATACATAAAAAAATGAAGAACAGGGAGAAAACGTTTTTAATTTGGGTTAAGAAAAAGTAAATGGTTTATTTAAAGTTTAAATAAGATACCTTTTATTTGCTTCAAGGGTTTCATTAGGAAATCTTGTATTAAAAAACATCAACAAATCGGTTGTATTAAGTTCTGATGGCTGCAGATGGGGTCATTGTATTAACATACCAGCTCACATAACAATAGCTTCTCTTTTTAAATGAATGAATGAAGAAGAATCCTAAGAACAAACAAAAACAACATTTTGCTGGCTACTGAATTCTATAATACTTGTGCATCCCTGATCTGACCCTTGCATTCTATATCCAAAACTTTAAAATAAAATGTACCTTCCATGCACTAGTACATAGAGTCGTCTTTGTTCAACGTGTCTGACTTTTGCCATTAAGTTAAAGGCGAAAAGTCATTGGGGGGAATTTATCAAAACTGGAGCAGACAAAATCTGGAGCTGATTTGCACTGCAACCAATCAGCTTCTCTGTCTCATTTTCAAATCTTTTTTAAGCAAAATGAAGAGAGATGCTGATTGGTTGTCATGGGCAACTGCTCCAGATTCTGTGTGCTCCAGTTTAGATAAATCCCCCCCTTTGAGTGACCAGTAAATAACATAACTATACTAGGTTCAAGGTGAATATTGAGAAAATGACATCTTACCCGATGATTCAGTATCATGTGGAATTAATTTGCTTTGCCAGGAGATGTCTCATAATTCAAACAAGTCCGTCAGGTGGTTTACATACGTATATGTTGATGTGTTGATTTTGTCATTCTACATGTTGGAATTCTGGAATTATTATGTGGAGCATGGATGGATTTTCATTCAGCACGACTTTAAATCACAATTGTGAAGATGATTAACGTGAACCTTTCTTGCATAAAATATAAAATGCTCAATAAATATGTAATAGTCTATAAATATCCATTATTGGATACTTGTCTCCTGGAAGTTGTCCAGCCCCGCTGAGTAACCCACGGTGGACATCACAGCTAGAAACTGTCTGCATGGAGTTTACATCTCTTCCCTGTGTATGCATGGGTTTTTGCTGGGTGCTTTGTCTCACTTTCCCAATCCTCAAATTGCTACTAGTGTGGTAGAGACACAGTCCCCGGAATTTATAAAGAGTGTCTGGCAACAAATAGTGCTACTTGTGACAGATTCATGTAACTGTCTGTAAGGTGTATATGACTCTGTTGCAGAATTGTCTCAGACAGAATTGTATCTGTGACACAATATACTCCAATGTTGAAGAGGTCTTCATTACTCTCACTTTTCTTATCACTGATATTTCTTGATATGTCAGAATGCAAAAGTTTCACGCACATGAACTACCTGGGTCACATTCATCAGAAATAGCAGGACCACTGTTCATGAGTTTGGTGCAGTACTTTCTAATACGGCCATAATGCCAGAAAAGTGTGGCTGTGGCAAAATCTTTGTTGCTTTGTCCTGGCACCTGCATGCCAGCATACTTATGACACCAGGCTCTGTCCCTAGCCAACCTTTCAGGACCTGAGATAACGTTAAGTCAAAGCCTTTAGGAAGTGTCTGTCATTTTTCTTTTTGTCCTGGGAATAATTCTATGTGGCAGTCAGTCAGCCTTGATGATTCTTCAGTTTCAGTTGTCAGATTAAAGATGACATCGGCGGATTGGTTGCTCTGTATCTGCGCTTTTCACAAACACATAAACCCAGTTTTATTTTTAATGTCTTACTGTTCTGTATAAAAAGCAATAACATCTCCATCATTAACTGAGGCATATCTTATCTTCAAAGATAATAAAAAATACTCCACCCTTCTAACAGACGTTGGATTTTTTTAAATTTCTTGGAGAATGTCCAAAGTAAATAGCTGTGGTATTATAATAGAACTGTAGACGGGGTCTAAGAACTCCACCGTGGTCCTAAAGAGCCCTTTTTAGTTGATTGCAGAAATGGTGGGCAGCCTAAAGCTGGCCAAACACTGTTTGAATGTTCCTTGGAAATTGTTCATCAGTGTGTTCCATTTCACCATCATTGGGTTAAAGACCTGCTACTTGCATGGGATCCCAGACAGGTTTCTTTGGTGTGTGGCAGATTACAATATCTATGATTTAAAAAAAAAAAAAAATTCTGAACCAAAATCACATTTACCGTTAGCACTCAGTTTGTTCACATAGCAAACTAGAAAGTTTTCTATCCTCATCTGTAAAAAATAAGTCACGGCAACTGGACTTGCTGTATTTTTCTTGAAGACGTTTCACTGGTCATCTAACCAACTTTCTCAATTCAGAATTGAATTGAAGTCCAGTTGCCTTGGCTTATTTTTTACAGATCTACCATGACCTGGATGAATGAGATCCTTCACAGACATTTTCTATCCTCCTCCTTTTGATTTTCCTTGTCCATACGGTCAAGACCAAACATCGATTC